ATTCTTAGGTTATTTTGATTGAATATTAAAATTCATCTAGTACCTGTTGCAGATTCTGTGCTGATGATTGATACTAGCCATTTATTATAATAACCCTAACCCTATGTGGCAATTGAGAGAGGTATATAAAAGGTCTCCAGGAGCACCTAAGGGAATAGTGAAGACCCCATAAACAGAATGCACATCTATGAGTGCTAAGTTGCTTCAGTTGTGTCCCACTCTTTGTGACCCCATGGACTGTATACTGCCAGGCTCCTCTGTCCATGGGATTCTCCAGGCAAGAATACTGGAGTGAGTTGCCATGCCCTCCTCCAGGGGATCTTCCCCACCCAGGGATTGAACCCACATCTCTTTCGTCTCCTGCACTGGCAGGCGGCTTTCTTACCACCCCGACCTCCAGGGGATCTTCCCCACCCAGGGATTGAACCCACATCTCTTTCATCTCCTGCACTGGCAGGTGGCTTTCTTACCACTAGCACCACCTCGGAAGCCCATAAATAGAATACACAGGGAAAATATAGTGTCCCATCCACCAATACAAACACACACACATAGACTTCTCTCTCCAATTTTCTCACTTACAGAAAGGCCACATTGCTTCGTCTTGTAGTATTTTCTAAATTCCCCTCTTCAAACTTCAATGATTATACTGCTTTTACAGTACATTTAGTGCATTTTGCATCAAGGAGTTATTGATGTGCTTCTCATGAGTTATGTCCTTTAACAAACATCATTTAAACTTCACCATTTCTAGAAAGCCTCACTTGTTTAAGCGGAATTTCCTGCTATATCTTCAGATTATATATCAGAAGCCATACATATACAGGCATGTGCTGACATTCTATGTGTTAGAGCACACCTCAGCATGAATGTTTTACTTCTTCAATTTAAGTGCCCAGGCCCATTGAATATGCTCTTCCTCCTGCCTAGAGTATACTTGCTTCTCAAGTATACTTGAGAAGTATATAAACCCAGTCATTTGGTTCTTTTCAGATATCTGCGTGGCTATTTTTGTTCAGGGAAGCTTTTTCTGATCTTCCTTTGTACGGTCTTTTAACATTTACATGGTCGTGTAACACCTCTCCAAATTCTTATATTTATTTGAGCAATCATTTGAATAATATCTGCCTCTGTTAGTAGGCTGTAACTCTGTAAACCACAAACCCAGAGTCTGTATTTTTGTTTACCAGGGTATTTCTAGCATTTAAGCAATGACTGGATCTAGTAGGTAACCAACTGGTAAATGACTAGATGAAGAAGAAATTATGTTTTCTCTCTGAAAAACAGCTACAGTTCTACTTCACCTAAGTTTTGCAGTACTTAAAAAATTATAAACTTAGAGCTTTTGTCCTTATAATTAAATGTTTCTGCACAGCAAAGGAAACCATAAGCAAAAGAAAAAAGACATCTATGGACTGGGAGAAAATATTTACAAACAATGCTACTGACAAGGGCTTAATTTCCAAAATATACAAAAAGCTCATACAGCTTAATGTCAAAAAACAAACAACCCAATCAAAAAATGGGCAGAAGACCTAAATAGACATTTCTCCAAAGAAGACATTCAGATGATAACAGGAGCATGAAAGGATGCTCAATATTGCTAATTACTAGAGAAATGCAAATTAAAGCTACAATGAAGGATCACCCCAAAGCAGTCAGAATGGCCATCATTAAAAAGTCTCCAAATAATAAATGCTGGAGAGGGTGTGGAGAAAAGGGAACCTTTCTACATTGTTGGTGGGAATGTAAATTGGTGCAGCCACTATGGAGAACAGTATGGAGGTTCCTTAAAGAAATAAAAAAACTTACCATATGATCCTGGGCATATATCCAGAGAAAACTCTAACTGAAAAAGATACAAGCACCCCAAAGTTCATAGCAGCACTATTTACAAAGGCCAAGACATAGAAGCAACCTAAATGCCCACTGACAGATGAATAGATAAAGACATGACATGTCATATACATACATATGAATATTACTCAGCCATAAAAAAGGAATGAAGTAATATCATTTGCAACAACACAGATGGATTTAGAGATTATCATAATAAGTGAAGTAAGTCAGACAGCAAAAGACAAATATCATATGACATCATTTAAATGTGTATCTAAAAAAGTGATACAAACAAACTCATTTATGATACAGAAATAGACTCCCATAGAAAACAAATGTATGATTACCCAAAGGGAATAGTGGGGTGTATGGGAGAGAGATAAATTAGGAGTTTTAGATTAATGTGTATACACTACTATATATAAAATAGACAACAAGGACCTACATATAACACTGGGAACTATACTCAGTATCTTCTAATAACCTATAATGGAAAAGAATCTGAAGAAGGATACATATATACATATGTATGTCTATATTGGCTTCCCACAAATATATATATGTATATATATACATATATATATGTATTTCAATACACACATGTATAACTGAATCACTATGCTATACACTTGAAACTAATGCAATATTGTAAATTAACTATACTTCATTTTTTTTTATAAAAAGGACATTGTTCTTAACATGAAGTGATGCTGGAACTTCAGTATTTATTTCTAAATGTCTTTAGTTCCACACCGCCCCCTCCCCCACATCCTCACCCAATTTCTTTGCATGATGATGGGCTGCTTCCTAAACTCTGGCTGGAAATCAGGATCTATGAGAAATAACCATTGTATCTGAGGGAAAAAAAAAAAAACTGCTATCTAGAAGCGAGAGTGCTTTGAAATATTTGCACAAAATAGCACTAGGATTTGTTGTGTGTCATGCTAAGAAGCAAACTTAAACTCTACCTTCAATTTCAGGAGCAAGATCCCATTTTGTAAAATTCAAGAGTAACACCTGTCTCATTTAACCCTTTTTCAATCTTTATGATCTTACTCAAAATCATAGGGAACTATTTTCTCATATGATCTTTTTATGTTATATAAGAGTTTTAACAAGAAGTCTCTAATTCTTAAAACCACCTCAGTCAGCTCAATGCTTATTAACTAAGATTAGAGCAAAATGTTCATATATGAAAATTGTTGGATTAATGTAGTGAAAAATTGTAGTTTTCCCCTTATTAATGTTATATGGTCCTTCCAGTAATTTTAAAGCAATTGATTAGTATTAGCCTTAGACCAAAGGAAAATAAAATTTAAAAGAACTCAACTTGACCCTGAATATCCAAAGCAACCTTCAGAAAGAACCACCAAGCTGGAGGTATCACACTCCCTGATTTCAAACTATATTATAATGCTATAGTAATCAAAATAGTATGGTATTGGCATAAAAACAGACATACAGATCAGTGGGGTAGAATACAGAACCCAGAAATAAAGCCAGGCTCATATGGTCAATTAATCTATGACAAAGGAGCTAAAAATATACACTGGGGAAAGGATAGCTTCTTCAACAAATGATGTTGGGAAAACTGGACAGCCACATGCAAAAAAATGAAACTGGATCACTATATTATACCATATGTGAAAAAATCAACTCAAAATGGATTAAAAAGTTGAATGTAAGACCTGAAACAACAAAACTCTTAGAAGAAAATGTAGGTTTGGAAGTACCTTTTGACATTGGTGTGGGTGACAATATTTTGGATTTGACATCAAAAGCAAAAACTAAAACAAAAGTAAGCAAGTGAGAATACATCAAGTTAAAAACCTTCTATGCAGCAAAGGACACCATCAACAAAATGAAAAAGCAACCTACCAAATGGGAGAAAGTATTTGCAAATCATATATTTGATAATGGGTTATTATCTAAAATATGTAAAGAATTCATATAAATCAATAGCAAAACAGCAAGCAAGCAATCCAATTAAAAGTGGATAGAGGATCTGAATAGGTATTTTTTCAAAGAAGGCACACAGGTGGTACATGAAAAAGTGTTCAACATAACTAATCATCAGGGAAATGCAAGTCACAACCACAGAAAGGTGTCACCTCACACCTGTCAAGCTGGCTATCATCAAAATGTCTATAAATAACAAATGTTGATGAACATGTGGAGAAAAGGGAGCCCTTGGCGCACTGTTGATAAGAATGTAAATTGGTGCAGCACCTATGGGAAACAGTACCTCAAAAAATTAAAAAAGAACTACCATATGATTCAGCAGTTTCACGTTTGGGTACTTATCTGAAAAAAATAAAAACATTAACTCAAAAAGACACCTGTACCTCCATGTCACAGCAGCATTATTTGCAATAGCCAAGATATGGAAACAACCTAAGGGTGTATCCGTGGATAAAGAAAACATTGTAGACAGCACTTAACCATAAAAAAGGAAATCCTGACATTCATGACAGCATGGATGGATGTTGAGGGTATCATGCTATGTGAAATAATTGAGACAAATACCATGTAATCTCACTTACATGGGGAGCTTGAAAATAACCTGAGCTCACAGATAGAGATCAGGTTGGTGGTTGCCTTAAGCAAAGCGGGGGCGGTGGGGGGGGTAATGTAGCGGTGGTGACAGTTGGAGGTGGTCAAAAGTACAAACTTCTAGCTACAAAACAAATATGTCATGAAGATGTACAGCATGGTGACTAAAGTTAATAATACTGTATTGCCTATTGATAGTTGCTAAGAGAGACGATCTTAAAAGTTTTCATCACAAGAAAAAAAATTGTTAACTATGTATGGTGATGGATGTTAACTAGACTTGGTGATCTCTTAACAATAAATACAAACATTGTGAATCATTACATTGTACACCCAAAATGAATTAAATATGTCAACTATATCTCAATTAAAAAAAATGAAAAGAACCCAGTTTGCATGTCAGGGGATAGCCCATTTTCTTGAGTGAAAGTTCTGTTGGAAACCTGGAGGCAGATTCATACCAGTATTTGGTTGAGCCCAGCACCAGCTGACTAATGATCCAATTAGATATACAGATACAGCATGTATTTTGGTATCACTGGATATGCCTTGTAATGGCAACCTTCAAGTTCATGCATGTTTTATTCTCTCTTTGTTGTGTTTTCCAGAGGGATAATCTATTGGCTGAGAGAGTAGCAAATCAAAAGTAACTCGACGCCATTGATTCGCTTAAGCTCGTGTGGGAACAATGGAAAGAGGCAGCCGTTTCCTTTGAAAGAGCAGAACAGGTATGAAATAGTTCCTTTTGTTGCTGCCTTTCTTTATCTCTTTGCACACCTATTTCCAGACCAGTTGAAAACAGCAAGTGGTTCCTGTTTGAAAACACAGGATCAGAGTTATACGAACAGGTACTGGGGGTTATTTGCAACATTCCGAGTTGTCTCATCTTCAGGACGCTGTTTATATAAGTACCAGTGCAGTCAAGAGGTAATTATTTTTCAATAACAAATTGTAATCACACTAGGGGGAGTTTATTCTTTAAAACATAGGCTTAGCATTTTGGATGTGTGTTTAGCTTTAAGATACAATGCTCTCTGAATAAGATCTTGCTCCAATAAATGGATTTCTATAGAGGGTTTACAGATGTAATAAAAAATGGTAAAACGTGTTGGTTTCTCCAATCACAGCCATCAAAAGTGTTTTTACTGTTTAATGATCTAATCTCCTTTGCTCATATTTTACTTTCTCAGCAGTGAGAGGACCCTGCCAAGAAAGGCAGAGTCTGATTTTTTTTTTCCATTTTCAGAATTCACATAGTAGATAGAGGTGAAGCTTCTTTTATTCTGAAGGAAACATTTCATGTAAGCATGAAAATTTTAGGACAGCATTTGTAGGACTCCTCAAGTTAGTACCTTTAAAATATGTGCTTATTTTGAATTGGATGTCTGTCACCATTGGAGTATTGAGCCTTCTTTCAATTTTATCTTTATCAAGAGACAGGTGAGCTGAGTGTGGTTTGGTAGTGAATGCTCAGTGGTCAGTGCTTTAAGAAATTATGATATTAATGGATTGTAATGCAGCTAGGTGACTCAGATGGTAAAGAATCAGGCTGCAATGCAGGAGACCCAGGTTCAACCCTCTGGGTGGGAAGATCCCCTGGAGAAGGAAATGGCAACCCACTCCATTATTCTTGCTTAGAGAATTCCATGGACAGAAGAGCCTGGTGGACTACAGTCCGTGGGGCTGTGAAGAGTCAGACATGACTGAGCGACTAACATAAATGCAGCTAGAAAGTAATTTAAGTTCAGAAGATTAAGTATCATGTACCTATCACGATCAAAATTAAATTAATAACTTTGCATAACAATTTTTTCTCCATTGGATAGTATAGATGAGAATATGAATAAATAATAAAGACTTGAATTTTGCATAGGAATATGAGCATTCAAAAGGCTAAGAGAAAGAACTCATAAAAATTATATTTTATATAAGGCATTAAACAAGGGTATGGCTCCATTATTTAAGTTTAAGAAGAGTTTTTAGCAGATGTTTGGACTATTGCCCTGTAGTTAGTAGGTTCTTAGCATAATGTCTTTATTTTCACAAATTGAAACAAATAAGGGTTCCAATGTATCACTCTATTGAATTTGACACTAAATGTTATCTGCATTAATAATATATGAAGAGTCTGGTTTCTAGCTTACCAAGGGCACAGAAATATAGCAGGTTGTTGCTTAACACACACAAAAGCAAACTTGCTGTCTTTGTGTTCCTTTATGCTTCAGTTTGTAGAATAAGCCAACTACTAACAACCCTGACCAACTATTGACCAACTATCTTTTCTTAGATGTTGTCTAAAAGAAAATAGTTTGATCTTTTGGGAATCGGGCAAAGAAGGTGAAGCAGAAAATAAACAAATTTCAAACTCTCTGTAACAACTCATTCTCAGTATTAATCAACCCACAACATAAAGCCATCAGCTACTGGATTTCTTTTTTAATTTCATTTATTTTTTAAATTTATTTATTTTAATTGGAGGCTAATTACTTTACAATATTGTAGTGGTTTTTGCCATACATTGGCATGAATCACCCACGGGTGTACATGTGTTCCCCATCCTGAACCCCCCTCCCACCTCCCTCCCCATCCTATCCCTCTGGGTCATCCCAGTGCACCAGCCCTGAGCGCCCTGTCTCATGCATGGAACCTGGACTGGCGATCTATTTCACATATGGTAATATACATATTTCAAAGATATTCTCTCAAATCATCCCACCCTCGCCTTCTCTCACAGAGTCCAGAAGTCTGTTCTTTACATCTGTGTCTCTTTTGCTGTCTTTCATATAGCATCATCATTACCATCTTTCTAAATTCCATATATATGCGTTAACATACTGTATTGGTGTTTTTCTTTCTGACTTACTTCACTCTGTATAATAGGCTGCAGTTTCATCCACCTCATTAGAACTGATTCAAATGTGTTCTTTTTAATAGCCGAGCAATATTCCATTGTGTATATGTACCACAGCTTTCTTATCCATTTGTCTGCCGACTGACATCTAGGTTGCTTCCATGTCCTGGCTGTTATAAACAGTGCTGCAATGAACATTGGGGTGCACGTGTCTCTTTCAGATCTGGTTTCCTCAGTGTGTATGCCTAGAAGTGGTATTGCTGGGTCATATGGCAGATCTATTTCCAGCTTTTTAAGGAATCTCCACACTGTTTTCCATAGTGGCTGTACTAATTTGCATTCCCACCAACAGTGTAAGAGGGTTCCCTTTTCTCCACACCCTCTCCAGCATTTATTGCTTGTAGACTTTTGGATAGCAGCCATCCTGACTGGCGTGTAATGGTACCTCATTGTGGTTTTGATTTGCATTTCTCTGATAATGAGTGACATTGAGCATCTTTTCATGTGTTTGTTAGCCATCTGTATGTCTTCTTTGGAGAAATGTCTGTTTAGTTCTTTGGCCCATTTTTTGATTGGTTTGTTTATTTTTCTGGTATTGAGCTGCATGAGCTGCTTGTATATTTTTGAGATTAATTCTTTGTCAGTTGCTTTGTATACTATTATTTTTCTCCCATTCTGAAGCCTGTCTTTTCAGCCTGCTTATAGTTTCCTTCGTTGTGTGAAAGCTTTTACGTTTAATTAGGTCCCATTTGTTAATTTTTGCTTTTATCTCCATTACTCTGGGAGGTGGGTCATAGAGGATCCTGCTGTGATATTTGTCAGAGAGTGTTTTGCTTATGTTTTCCTCTAGGAAAACAACACAGATTACAATGTGATTATGTTTCTCAACAAAGAGATGATTTGAAAAAAAAACATAAACAAAATAGCCAGCTACCATGTCTTCTTGGGGGTGAGTTTCTATGTATGGAACTGTTTGAGAGATGGAATCTGCCTTCTTTTTTCCACTGGGGAGAGGAGTGCACAGAGGGATGGCTGTGGGGCAGGGAAGGATGAATCCCAGATTGCTTCCAGGACTATTACAGCCCCCAAGTAATCCCCTCTCTTGTTCCACACCTGGAATAATTTTAGGGGGCAACCTTGGGGGAAAAAAGGTCCAGTCAAAATTGAGAAATTGTGCATATTTGTGCTTTGTTGAAACTGATTTTAGGACAGTCTGTTGATTTATGAACCATGGCATCTCTCTTATTTCATGAGATAGATGATGAAGAGTGAACACATTTTATTCCCTCAGTTGAAACTCTTTCTTTTGAATACTGAATATAGAGAAAAATACATAAAGCAAAGGTATTTCTTTTATTTCTTCTTAGCTCTCTTGAATAGCTCTCTATAAATTTCCTTTATGAAAATGTCTTAACTCAGATTTACCACTGCTTCTTTTATCCATAGTAGTAATGTCTACATAACTGGATCTGTTTGGTTTGAATATCTTAGTGTGTGTGTGTGTGTACAATCTCTCATTTCAGGCCAGCCAACAATACCCCAAATTTACATTTGACAGATTTTTACCATGAGAGATTGTTCTACATCCAAAAAAAAAAAAAAGAAAGAAAGAAAAGAAAAGAAACAGGGAAGGACTCTGACTTGGCTTAGGTAAGGTACCTACTCCTGGCCTAGTTGACTACAATGATCTCTGGTCAGAAGGCCCCAAAAGGCATTTGTTAAGTCAGCTTATCCTGTGCTGTGCTTAGTCGCTCAGTCATGTCCAACTCTGTGACCCCATGGACTGTAGCCCACCAGGCTCCTCTGTCCATGGGGATTCTCCAGGCAAGAATACTGGAGTGGGCTGCTATTTCCTCCTTCCAGGAGATCTTCCTGACACAGAGATCAAACTTGCATCTCTTGCATTAGATGACCACCTAAGGTCATCCAAGTTGGCTTAGATGACCTATAACTCCATATTCAATGGCCTTAGGATTTGAATCATGGTCTTAAGTGACCGGGATCTTGCTACACAGTGAGATCTTACAATCTCAGAGACAAGTATAACTACTGTGGTTTATTCCTTGCCCACCAAGTCACACAGAAATCTCTACTTTCCAAATCCCATTCATTTATGGCAAGTAGTGTGACCTGTGAGAAGTCTGTCTGCCAGTTGTCTCCATTTCTGGGAGCAGTTAGGTGAAGTGTAGGGCAGAGTATCAGTGTCCTGAGCTTATATGTGAGGTGGCAGCAGGAGAGAGGGGACAGGAACAGAAGTAGGGAGGGTGTCAGGCAATTTTTCCTTCAATTGTGAATACTCCGCTGGGCTATGGTTCCAAGAGAGGGCTGAGCTGCAGATCTGGAACACAGGGGTGAATGACCCAGCCCCAAGTCCTGAATTATTTATCTTCTAGGGAAACGGTGATGGAAGGTGAGAAAGGTAAGGTGGAACAATAACTAGAATATGTGCTATGATTTACTGCATGGCTGCCACTCAGTTTGAATATCAGCTTATTTGTTTGTGTGTGTGTGCTCAGTCATGTCTGATTCTTTGAGAACCCTTGGACTATAGCCTGCCACGCTCCTCTGTCCATGGATTCTCCACGCAAGAATACTGGAGTGGGTTGCCACTTCCTCCTCCAGGGAATCCTCCTTACACAGGGATCAAACTTGCCTCTCCTGCATTGATAGGTGGATTCTTTACCACCTGTGTGCCACCTGGGGAGCCCAGGTTTTGTTTAGTGGCAGGCAAAATTAGAATTCCTCTTCATCTTGTCCTTATGTGTACAGACACTAGGGACCAGGGCTTCTCTGGCCTCTGGAAGCTCGACTTGCATGGACAGCTAACTGAAAGGAGACAACATAGTCATGCCACCAGATGAGGCTTTATCCTTGGGTTGTTGTCCTTGTTAAGTCAGTTTTTTCCTCAGTGCCTTGGGATCTACAGGATTTTTGCCTGAGGTCTGACTTTCTTCAGGACTGGCTTCCTTTTCTCCTCTCAAGAAGCTAGATGCTCACAAACACATTTTGAAGTTCTTCACACTGTTCTTAATCGAATTACTTAGGACCACAAGTGCTCACTGTGCCATGCTGGAACCTCAAGGGCCTCTAAGATCACTGGAACCCACCAGGCAACATCCAGAAGGCTCTGTTCTTATCTGTGTTGGTTCAGTCTAGTCTGGTGGGAGCAGAGCTTGAAGGCTGGCTTCAACCAAGCCCACCCTGGGATGTGCCTGTTTGGGTCTGCAGCTTCACTGTGGCCACCAGGGGGTCCTTGTGTTGAACGTGAGAGTCTCTCCAGCCCTGACACCATCTCCTGAGCCCTGGCACGTTCATTCATCCACATTTATTCACTCTCACAGCACTTGATGCACAAAGCCCAAAGCCGGAAGACAGACAATAATTTTCAAGGAACTTCTAGTCAGAAGAGCTTGCAATCTAAGTAGTTTTGTTTTTTTTCTTGTTTTGTTTTTGTGATAAAATATAACAAAGTTTACTATTTTGTTTTAAAGTGCACAATTCAATGACATGAAGTAAAATCTCTGTGATATTTAACCATTACCATTGCCTGTTCCAGGTATTCATATAAGGGAATCGTATCCAATATTTGTCCTTTTGTGACTGGCTTATTTCACTTAATGTTTTCAAGGTTCATTTTATTGTAGCATATGTCAGAATTTCATTTCTTTTTATAGCTGAATAATATTGCATTGTATGTATATACCACATGTTCATTTATCTTTTATGAACAATGCTGCTATGAACATTGGTATCTTTTAAATACATTAACTCATTTAATTCTTATAACAGCTCTATGAATTTAAGTACTTTTTTGGTCTCCAATTTATAGATAGGGATAGTCATGTAGCTGGTCATGGCAAGACCTATATTCAGACCTATTCAGAATGCCATGCACACTCTGAATTCTACACTGTGCCTCCTTTAATAGAAATAGTTCTTTAAAGTCAATATGTCCTTGGTACATTATCTGCATTATTTCTAAATCCTTAAGATAGCCTTATGATGGCAATGGTATTTTTCACAGAACTAGAACAAATAATTTCACAATTTGTATGGAAATACAAAAAACCTCGAATAGCCAAAGTAATCCTGAGAAAGAAGAATGGAACTGGAGGAATCAATCTGCCTGACTTCAGACTCTACTACAAAGCCACAGTCATCAAGACAGTATGGTACTGGCACAAAGACAGAAATATAGATCAATGGAACAGAATAGAAAGCCCAGAGATAAATCCACGAACCTATGGTCACCTTATCTTCGACAAAGGAGGCAAGGATATACAATGGAAAAAAGA